GCGGTTCTCCTGGTCACTAGACCCGAAAGATTGAAAACAGAAGAAGTTATAGTGGTTACATTAAAGAGGTTCAAGATTAATGTGGAACTATGCCTGTCCGTTGCACCAACTTGTGGTGAACAGGAACTATCGTGTTTCCCTTCTAATGTCAAACTATAGCCAACTTTTATTAGTTCATGCTAATCATACTTTTAGAGTAGCACAATATGCCAGTTTCCTTGAGAGAATAATTTGTGCAGCTTTGTGAATGCTCTTTTGTTTACACAGCGTTGAAGGCCCTGTTCGGAGGCCCTAAATTTTAATTTGGCAATTGCCTTCATTAAGATGTTCCATGAAAATGTGCAGTTAAAGCTAAAAAAATAGTCGGTTTTACAGGATGTTTACTGTGCAATTTATGCTAAAAGGCATAATTTGTAGATTTTTGTTTAGAAAATGTGCACCACTCGACTACTCAGTCATTCAAATCGTCGCCTACAAAGCATCGTAAAGGATGCAATTCCTTCAATTAAAAGATGCTATTCGTATTGTGAAGGGCATTGATCAAGGAGGGAGGACTTGCGGTTTTAAAGGGTCTTCTTAAAAGTCGAGGGTAAACACTGCATCTGTTGAGGAAGTAATGGTGTAATTTGTGATTGATGTTTTGGTTGAAGTGCTGCCTCTCGATGGGCAGAGGAAATGGAAGGTTGGTTCTACTGCAACGGCATAAACTGGGATTGCTACGAATGATGCAGCTATGAGATCGAGTTCACTTATGAGGCAAAGCTGTCTTCTAATTGCCAAAGTTCGGAAGCATTTCATTGAAGTTCCATTTTATGTATGCTATCCTCTGACAGGGTATTTCTACCTCAGCTAGTTGGATACACATGTATGGCATCAGTTCTGATCTCAACCCTTCATTCTGCCCTTCAGTCCCTGATCCTAGCGACTTACATTAAGGCCAGCGTTGCAAGCAAAGGCAAAGAAGAATTAAACACTGGCCAGCAGTTCCAACATTTACGTAATGCTCTGCGCGAAGTTCCTCAATTTAGGACCCCATGTAGTTTACGCGGTTTCATTG